GGGATACAATTCATAATCTCTTACACAAAGACGTGATACTTTACCAGTCTCTTGCTATAATATTTCCATATATATTGAATATCCTTATGTTGAAACATTTCAACATGGTAATCATATATGTCCATGACTAAGTTTGATTAAAATTTCTCGATCTAAGTTTTTAGATTTGAAATGAAGTATAAATTTCTCTCCCTTAATTATAATGAAACAACTTATCAACCTCTGAAGCTTTGCAAATTGAAACTTTTGTTTTCTATAATTAATAATGCTAACTTGCAACACTTAACATAATAATCATGCTCCCACTAACACGATAATTATATCCTTACCAGCATAACACTTATGCTCCCACTAGCAAATTGAAACGTAATGCTTTGATACATAATGCTTTGATAAAACTTTATCTAAGCTCATACACCTTTTATTAGAAAGCTCATATGTGTGTCTAAACTATTTCAAAACTTATATCAATAAGTCCCAAATGTTTATACTAATTTCCAAATCTCTCGATTTGAACTATGAAGAGTGATGTCGTGATCATAATCGAATTTGAGAATACAATTCACACAATCGCTATCTCCTTAAGATCTTCCTAGTGAAAGCGTTTCCTCACAATCATTTTCATGAAATGGAGAGAAACCTTACCACTTAGATTTTATGGTGTATGCATTCATATCCATGAGAATTTTTCATAACCATTATCCCAAGACAATGTTTGTGACAAATCCAAACTCATATGGACTGAACTTGTTCAATATTTATTTCTTGCCATCTGGCAGCACAAAGGCCTACAATGTCTTCCAAGTAGTTGATCAGGTCACCCATACAGACCAATGAACTTTCATTGATTAAGATGCTTTGCTTTTATGCATTCAAATGAGAACTCATAGAACTCACATGCATACTCAACTCAATTTGAATGGCACAAAAACAAGAATATGTCAACTCGGTAGGTTATTAAACCTCAAGTCGTGTACTAGTGACAAAATGTTCATTCTTGATTAGCTCCCAAAGCTATTCAAGACCATTAAGACTCATATTGACCTCTTGACAAATAAGATTCTCTTGTCAAGAAACCTTCCTTGAAAAACAAATATTCAAGAGTTAGTGTGGTTTCTTATTAAGACAAACAATTCACACAATTGGTCATAGTTGGTCTTTATCGTATCCAAGACATCACAACTTACCAATTTCAAATGTGCAGGAATAATAAGGCATTTTGTACTCCACATTTGATGGGTGTGTTATAAATCTTCTTAAGATGTGTTACTCAAGTCATAATCTTGGAGTTCAACACTAAGACTCGATTTTGGAACGAAGTATGATTCACCTTATAATCTAACCATTCCAACAATCTCTATACTAGTGCACTAAGGTGTCCTTATAGGATCAATTGTGACACGCATTCATAATCACTAAGTTAATCATAAAACACGATACTTAAGTATTCTCCCTTCTTTTTTCAGATTGGAGAAACTTTTATCTTTTGGCCTAATTGATTCTTCCTATTCGTTCTACATTACATTGAAACCTTTTCAACGATTCAGAGTTACACTTTATCTTGTAAGCATAACCATATTTACTAAACTTTTAGCAAATCATGGTGAATATTCTTATCGTTCTTTGTGGTGGACATGACCTAGTGCACAACAATGCGTACTAGATCCTTTAGTCCTTCACTTGACTCAGATACTTATGTGAACAAGGAAATAGTCTTAATTTCCCAAATACGAAGGTTCTCATTCATCATAAAATACCAGTTGCATGATTCCAAGTTTCTATCCAAATGAAACTTAGGTGATGAGAATCATTATTTATTTGGTAAATTTTCAACACTACCACAAATAACATAACTAAGGATCACATCTATTTTTAATATCGCTAACAATAGAAACATACAAACATCAATTTTCACAAAAGTCATTGCAAGGATATATAAATAAGACAAAATCAAAATTTATTTTATTTATAGACACGCGGAAAAAATTGTCGTTACAACGCAAGTACAAATGAAAACTATGTTACTAAATATTCCTAAGTAATCTATCATAACTTCTATGCAGCAGCTTAGAAATCCGATCATCGAACCATGTGATCGACATCCATCTCTTCGTGATTAGACTCAGGTCACTCTTCCTTTAAGCTTCCTTTGTTTTCTTCAATCCTACAAAACATCAAAATGTAATCTTATCACATCATGTATTAAAAATCTACAAAAAGTAACTTAGTTGAGTTAGATAGCGGACTTACCTGATGCAGAGTCATACATCTTGACTTTCCCATCCTTGCGATCTTTTAGGTAAATATGGCAGCTTCGCATCCAATGCCCCTTCTCTTAGCACTAGAAACAAATGGACTCTACCAGTCAAAGTTGCTTTACCAGTGTGCCAAATCATTGCTAATTTAGCAACGATAAGCAAATATGTAAGACCAAGTCAACAACCAGCTTCCTTGAGACATCGACACCCAACATTCCCAGCCTGTCAATATGTAACTTCATCTCCAAGACGTGAGCACATATAGACTTTCCATCTTCGTGTTTTCTTACTAATAGGGCTTGAGTGACCTTGAACTTTTCAAGTCAACGACCGTGTGGGTCAGGCAGAATTATTGGAGGAGTTGGAGGAAGTGAAGAATGATTTCCATTTCCATGATCCAGTCGTGGAATATCATCTGCATGTGGAAATATTTTTCCAAAGGATTTAGGAAGACCATAGTTGTTAGAATTTGACATCTACAAAAGGGATAAATTCAAGTTAGTTGATTTAGTCTTTAGTATAACAACTAAATGAAATATGATGGCTAGGACCCAATACAATATTCTACAATTTGGCAAAGGGACGCGTAATTCAATTGCATAATATTTGAAGATAGGTAACTGATGATTTACTCATTTCCACCATGAAAAACGAAATTGAATATTATGTTTTAAATGAATTGAAATTCCTAGATCTTTTGAGATTCATTGAACTTTTCAACGGCATGTTTCATCTCCATTATGCCCTTCAAGTTTGTGACTCGGATACCAAGGATCACAAACAAGGTATGAATAACCATGCAAATTAGCTTGGTACTCTCAAAGATGTTTATCACCTAATCAATGTTCCAGTTAACCACACACGCTCCATTGATCTGTGATAATCTACGAGCTACCCATTGTCACCCTTTATTAGTCTCATATTAGTGTGCCGGTTAACTACACATGCACCACTAACGACCAACAAGGTGCAATGTGCAATTTCATGGATTAACACTAAATTCACATTTTTCGTAAGGTAACTAAGATTTTGGAATTTATAAAAGTGTTTATTTACTTCGTACTTCATTATACTTATAATGGAAGGTTGTGTTCTATCCTACTCATTCAGCTAACGACCCTCCACTAGTCAAGGGTGCGGTGGGTAAGAGTGGATACCCAATGGCAGTCATTTTACAGGTCGCTTCCTTAAACACCGCTTATAGATCAGTTTCGCGAATGAGGCCTACTAACGGTAAGACTGACTATTTACTTATCCATATATGATATATTATACCTTCAATTTTATATAGTATAAGGGTGTATTTTATACATTTAAAATACTAAGTGGTTTAATCTATTAATAAATTAGACTTTTAATTTGATTAAACTTAAACCATATAATTATGGATTTTTTAATTATCTTTTTTAATTAAACACTTAATTAATTTAATAAAACCATAAAGGTGTAGTTTGAACTATTCAAAATACTAGGTTTTTAAAATTTAATATTTCAAAATTAAAACCTTTTAATCAAATTTTAAATTCTAATTTTTTTTTTCAAAATTACTAGGTTAAATATTTGAATCAAAATAATCCTATATTATTCATATTTAACCAAATCTACCAATTTTGATAAGGATATCCATACCAAACATAAAAAATCGATTTTAGGCATTACAAATGAGTTTTGATAATTATCCTAATCAAAATTTGGTCGAAAAATCAAAAAATTCGGCAACAGATCACTCAGCTCGTCGAGTTCACGCAACTCGTTGAGTAGACCATTTTAGACAGCAAAATCTTCGATTTCTTGATATTTCGTAGTTCACTTTTGCATCTATTCAATAGAAAAACAACTTAGGCTCGTATACTATTGTTGAGTTTTGAGCATAACATCATTCCTATGGTGCACATACAACCGTAATTGCTTTGGATCTAGGTTTTTCTAATTTGAACATTCAACTATGAATACCAAAGTAATAACCCTATGACTAGTACACATATTTCAAAAATTACATATGATTAGGGTTAGAATCTTTACCGTTCTTGTTATGTAGCACTAACAAGTTTAATCCTTCTTGATCTTAACTTCTAGAAGCCTAATGCCCCAAGTATTGCACCTCTAATGGAGTCACAAACACCCAATGCAAGAAGATGACTTAGGAGAGAAGAAGAATTCGACTAGGGCAACTCAAAGAAGACATAGAGCCAAATTCTCATGTATAAGGGTCTATTTATAGTTGAGGCTTATAGGGTGGAAACCCTAATTTCCTTGCTTAGGCCTTAAGCAATCCATGGAGCCCTTCTAGAACGCCCTTTGCATGAAATCCTTATGGGCTTCCCATAGATTTCATCCAATCCCTTCTATTAGGAATCCATAGCCCAACTAGCAACTAACATTTAATTGCAATATTAGTCTATTTAATTTAATCAGTCTCTTTTGATCACCAAATTAATTCCAAATTAATTTTTGATCAATACTAATTAAATAATATGATTTCCAAATAATATATTAATCTTGAAATATATTAATAATACCATTTTGAGTAACAATTTATTATTCATATAATAAATTCTACTCTCCCTCCTCCTGTCATCCTACCAAGTTGCATTAGTGAAGGCAACCCAAAAGAACCATGGTCATAATCAAATCAATTACGTAGCAAAAATACTTATGGGCTCAGACACCTAATCCAACAATTACTTCATCTTCAAGACCTACATTGGGATGGGTTTCATCAGGGGCAGTGTTTTCTTCATTTCAAGGTACACAATCATCTTCAATGCCACTTTCATTATCTTCACTAACTACCAGATTCATGTCATCATCCCACAATTCCTCCAACCCGTTCCCATTATGATCAACATAAACTAAAATTCCCCCGTATTCATACCCACTATCTATAAACTGGACAAAATCCAAATCATCTACAATGGGACGAATCCCTCTGGATAAAGGGATGTTAGGTAAGCAGTAGTAGACATTTTGAAACTCTTCCCCGATAGCTCTGTCAAGAAAATCAAAAAAGTCCCTTACATCCATACGTGCCCAATCAACATCAGTGAAGAGGAACTAATTCCCACCAACATACCCAGAAGGATGTCGAACAAATACGCCATTGTAGTGTACAAAACTCTCAGATATACAACTTCGTTGTCATTCTCAGCCATGCAACAGTGAAACAATCTTCAAAGAGTAGAATACCTTCGACAACAACAGTATAATCTCAATAGTGGCTAAAATGGTTAAAAAACCTAGTTCAAATCTCCATTCCCCTTCTTATAAGACGTACGACTAAGGAAAATGAATTAAAATTATTTACCAGTTTTTACACTCTGGAATAACACACTTGACACAATTAATAATTGACCACCTAAGTCAACGGTCACGTCACCTATTTTACCGACTAAGGAAATTAGGAGATAAATAAGGGTATAAGAGACAGGTAATTTTCGAGGTTGAGGGTCCATAAAGACCAAAAAAACAATATTGGTCTTTTAAAACCTTATGTAAAAGTTAGATGGCTGTCCGAGACAAAAAAAACCCTTTCCTTTAATAGACAATCTCAACATTATTATGACTTTATATTTATATTGAAATATAATATTAATTGTGATTCATCTCCATTTTGATTCTATTTTCAACTCTATTTCTAACGACAAAATTTTCAAAATATATATCCTTCCCTCCAAATTTTTAAAATTTCATTATAACCTTTCAATTTACAATTTTTGTTTTATAAGTTTCTCTAAAAAGCTATTTGATAAATTTACAATTTTTGTTGTATAAGTTTCTCTAAAAAGCTATTTGATAAAAGAACTTTAAAATTTATATTACTAAATAAATACAATAAAAAGACAATTCTCATAAGATAATATAAATATTGAAATTAATAAAATAATTTTTTTATTAAATAAATTATTTCATTAATAACAGATTAATGTATATATATATATATATATATATATATATATATATACTATTAAATTCAAACTTAAATAACCAATTATAATAAAGATAAAACTGCAAGATTGATCCCTGTGGTATTTAAAAAACTTTGGATAGGTTCTAAAAAGTTTTTCACTTGCATAGAAGGTCCAAAATCAAGGTTTTTCTTTATTTTTGGTCCAAAAAAACATGAAAAGACAGTTATACCCTTTACTTTCTTTTATATATTTTTTCTACTTTTTCAAATACTATTTTAATTTAAAAATAAAGAGAAAAGAAAAGAATTATCCCTTAACCCCACCTCTCTCTCTCTCTCTCTCTATCTCTCTTTATCTCTCTCGCTCTCTCACACACATACACACACTCTCTCTCTCTCTCTCTCTCTCTCTCTCTCTCTCTCTCTCTCTCTACATGGAACAAAGAACTAATACACACAAAAGAAACACACTTATATGAATACGAAATCTGGAACACCAAAAAACACCTGAAAATAAACACAAAATCATTTGTTCTTTAAAATCGATTTTGGAACACGAAATCGCTCAATCACCAAAATCATATTACAATTATCATAGAGATTAGATTATAGTTTTTCTAAGAATGAGAGACTAAACCTAGAGGTAACAAAGTAGAATCAATCCAAGAGTTTGAAGAAGAATCAAAATGCTGATGTCCTGCATATCTTGAGGAAGAATTTAAGTGTCGCTGCCCTTGGCAGGAAGTGCTGACAGGATGACAATCACATCCAGCGAAGCTCCAATTCAGGTGAACCATCTGCAAAGGTTAATGTTGAAGAACGAGATTGACTATTATCTGTTGATGTAAATTGTAAAAAGTCAAAAATAGTGTATTGTGTTGTTTTGCATTTTATGTTATTTTCTTAAGTCATTTTGTATGCGAAGTGAAGATGTATAGACTTAGTATATTTTTTGTATGTTCCCTATAAATAGGGACTTAGGCTAGAAGTAGAGAGACACAAAAGCGAAACACTCTTCTGCTTATTTTGTAATCAGTCTTAATCAATATAAGATCTGATTAATATTTACTCTTTGTGTTCTTCATCTTTAATCGTTCAAATCTATCTTTTCTTTTCTAAATTCTCGATAACAATTCTCATCAATTGGTATCAGAGCAGGATTCAAACTGCTTAGATCTGATTTTCGTATAAGAATCATTTGCTTTTTGAGTTACAAATTTACTCAAAATTTTCCGCGCATTTTTGGTTTTGAAAATCACTTTTGATCTTCAGATTTGAATTGATTATATATTTGAATTGTTAAGTCGAGTAATCGATTAGTGATTTGTGATTAATTCATTTGATCAAATTCTGAAATTCATCAAGTTTTCAAGTTTTTGGATATTTTCTGTGTTCATCAATGGCGAACTTCAACATGAATACAATGACTTCTTTCTCTCACTTGCTTGGTTCCTCAACCAAAATTCCGATGTTAATTCCAGAATACTATGATCAGTGGGATGATAGAATGGAAGATTACTTAAATGGAATTGATGAAGAACTTTGGAATTGTATCGATGGAACAGTACAAGCTCCTGCTAATGTTCAACCAATTGGATCATCCACTGCATCTACTGATGTTGAAGAACAACGAAAACGACTGAAGAATAATGAAAAGAGGTGCATGAGGGAACTAAGAGGTGCTCTACCTCCTGTGGTTTACAATTACATTCGTAGTTGTAAAACAACCAAAGATATATGGAATACTCTAAAAGAAAAGTATCAAGGTATCGAAAAGACGAAGATCAACTCTGTGAAGCAATGTCTAGTTGAACTGAAGGAATTCAGACAAAAGGATACAGAAACTCTCGAAAATTATTATGATCGTCTGAATGAGCTCATGTTTCGCTGCAATAGGTATGGTATCACTAGATCTCTCATGGAATTCAATTTAACTTTCATTATGGGTCTTCGCAAGGAATGGCGAAGTGTGAGCATGATGATTAAGAATCAACAAAGTTTTGATACAACTACATTGAATGATCTTTACAATCAACTGAAAACACATGAATGTGAGGTCACAGAAATGTATGAAGAATCAAAACAAGATATTGGTGGTCCTTTGGCTCTTGTTTCAAAGGTATCAGAAACTGATGAAAAAGATGGTTCAAATGAAGAAGGATTTTTGATGAACTCCGACGATGAAGCTGTAGCATTCTATTCAAACAACAGAGTTAAGAAGTTTTTCAAAAAGCCTTTTAATCCAAAAGGAAAGAATAGTGATGGGAAAAATGCTGTCACAAGAACTGGAGGGGAGGAGAGGAAGAAAATGGAGAAAATAGATGAAAAATAGAAAAATGCGAATGAAGAGAAAAAGTTGAAGGGTGATTCAGGAATTTACTGTCACTATTGCAATGGTGCGAATCATAGCAGCTAATTGCATGTTGCGAAAGAAAGAAGAGAAGAAAGAAAAAGTTAGAGATGAAGCATACTACTCCGAAAAGATTGAAGAATTACGTGCTAAGACCAAAGGAGTGTCTTTAGTTGCTAAGGGAGAATCTGCTGAAGAAGAAAGTGGAACTTATCAGATATGGTCTTCAGGATCTGATGATGAGGAAATGAGGCATCCCACACATGGAGCAATGTTCGCAAGTTTTGAGGATTGCGAAGAGAACATTTTAGGGCGATGTTTTGTGTCTAAATCCACTGACAAGTCACCCATGACAACCAAGGTACGTGCAATTCTTGAATCTTTTAATATTCCTTTATCTACTTATGATGCTGAAATTGTTTCATTTGATGATACTATGGCTTATTTTGATTCTGTTATTGTGTCTGCTAGTAATGAAGCTAAGAAATTAAATGTGCAACTTAGTGAGACACGAAGAGATTTAGAAATAAAGAAGAGCAGAGTTGAAAAATTGGAAACGCAAGTCAAAAATATAGATTGTGATAGGAATAATCTTACTAATGATGTTAGGTTGTTGCTAGCACAAAGAAACATATATTGTAATTCTGCGAAACGACTGTATGCAAAATTAACAGCTTTACATCATTCTTCTGATATTAGCAAAGAACAACATAGGAAACTTTTACCTTTTCTTGAGTATGAACATGAAAAAGTTGATGTTGTTTCTTATGATTGCGAAAGTACAATTGCTCAATTTGACAAAATACCTGATGATAGATATTCATATGGTATTATCAAAATTGATGAATTTCTGAATGCTGATGAGTTGGTTAACATTGTCAATGAAAGTTTAACAAAGAGTGAACAAGTGAAAATCATAAAGAAAACCAAAAATTCAACTCTTGCCTCACAATTCAATTATGCTGATATTGATGAAAATTCTGATAATGTGAGTGAAATCAGTGAGATAGAAGAAGAAGAAGAGGTTGATTGTTCTCAATTGTCAATCATTAATATCACATCCAAGATCAAAGGTAAAGAAATAATAGTTGATTGAATCGTAGAGGATGAAATTGATAAATCTTCAACTTCGCAACATTGTAAGTTTGATAATGTGGAAGTTGAAAGCTGGAAATCTGATGACACTGATGAAAATAAAGAAGAAAAGAAAATTTCAACTGAAACACCTCAAAGGGTTGTGGTTGATCAAGTGTTTGAAAATACAAAAGAATTTGACAAAATTTTAAATGACAAAGGCGCACATTATTTGGAAACCAACACAGTGGTATATCCAAATTTTGTATGTACTGATAAAACTATTTTTCCAAATCAAGTTTTTGTCACTACTGGAAATGCTGAGAAAGTTCATCCTGAGTTCAATAAAATGATTGAAAAGGATAATTAAAAGTCCACGACTGAAGGCTTTTTCGCAAATCAAAACACAGAAGAAAACAATTTAACCCAAAATCCTTACGTGCTTCAAAAACAAAAATCATTACAAAAATGGGTGGTTAAAGGTGAAAAATCAAACAAAATTTTTGAAAAAGTTGAAAACTCAAAGGTTGAGGTGAAACTAAATTCTCATGAATTCAAATTGATGGTTGGAAATTATTCAACAGAAAATAATGTTTCAAAAAGAAAATCAAGAAAAGCAATATTCTGGCAAGTTGTGTCTAATGAAAAATCCAGAGATGAAAAAGAACAAATTTCAAAAACATCATCAAAATTTCAAAACAAAAACACACAAACATATTCAAGTTTTCATAAACAAATAAACTCTGTTGACAAGGTTCCATATATTCGCAAATATGACAACAATCGAAAATTTGAGAATTCGCAAAAATTTGTAAATAATC